GGCCGCCCGGAAGACATCCTCTCTGTTCTTTAACGGCAATGTAGCGGCTTCAGCTGAATGTGTGTGTATATATCAATCATAGGCACTAGCTCAATCAAGGATGAAAGTTAACAGAAGTTATTCTTGGATTGAGAAACATAGTTGTTAATGATCAAATGATAGGGTTTGACATCCAAGAACCACGATATGATTACGAGAGACGCCATAGTGGGGTGCTCCAGAAATTTCACCACCTTTGTTCTTTAACATGCACTTTGAACTGCACGGGCCTCAAGCATTTTCGCCTACATCGAAGATACGACAGGCATTTGATCCCGCTACCTGCAGGTCAGCAATAGCGCACCACAACCACTGCACCACTCTGGCAGGTAGTAAAAAAGATGGTTTTGGTAAAATCAGTATAAGTCAATTTTTGTCCAGCTGTAAGAAAGCAAGTTCAACTGTATGAGACATATTGCTGAAAATCACTTTGACAGCACGGCAGACTGATTCCGGTCTCTCCCGTTGCCCATTTCTTGCTTTTCATTTACACCTTTCACTTGCAGACATGGTTAGCGGATAATAAAGGTGCGAACAGCAATGGATAATGTATCTCTCAGGATAATGTTTCTCTCAATTGAAAAAGATAATCAACAATATTCCGCTATATGTGTCTGTTTGCAGTGTCAGACATTGCTTGCACAGAGTTTCTTTTGTTTCTTGTAACAAATTATGGTGTATTGCTTGTGAAACGGGATTTATTGGCTTAAGTAGTACTTGTACAGCAGGTCTATTGATGCGGAAAGCGGGCGGCAGCAACCAACTCAAGAATCACAGCGCTCAAGGCAACCGCTCGCGCTCGACTCCTCTCGCTAAAGGCGTGACCCACTGCGGCACATAATCTCTTACTCTTTACACTTGAAATTTTACGTGTTAACACGCCCACCCATGTTTCTCCATTCTGTGCATTTCTTGTCGTGCGTCATGTCCCTAGTTGCAGATATCGCTCGGTGTACCCTTCTAGTCATGTCAACGTAAAGAAACGAACAGATGAAGCGAATCAATATATATAAATTGTCATATAAATATTTTTTCAGCTTTATGCTTCTTATTTTCACGCTGTTTGCCGCAGTGCTGAACAAAATAAAGCTTGTGCTTACTACAGCTGCCCACACTGCATTACTCATTACGCTGCTTTAGGTTTATGACCACCATCTTTTTATTTATGGGCATAATTACATGAGTATTTGAGTAGGCTTTTCTAAGGCTGCAATTAGCCTGCACGTTTTTCTGTGTTGCACCTTCATCACTAGACAATACTTCAGAGCGCCTTGGTCGTCAGGGCATAATAAAGATATGTAGAAATATAATGTACAATCGCATACAAGCCGAGTTAGGTGTATCAACCGAATATTCAGTGGCGCGATTGCCCGTGGGTGCGTGTGTGTGTGCGTGCATGTGTATTTAGATGTTAGCAGAATGTGCAAAGGTTCAATAGAAATGATATTTTCTGGCTTGAGTATATCTTAGCACACATACGAAGTGTCGCACTGTAATATACTTGAACGTGGCCTATCAGAGCTTGGAACTGTGTCTGGCTATTTCCATTAAAACGAACCTCTGCCTATTGAAAATTATCATAGTGATCGGACTCTGGCGAGATATGTTCTGGCGGGTACAAGTATGACCATTGCTTCAGCATTATTCCCGTCGCTGAGCCAACTTAAAACAGTCGCAGCCGAGATTCCTGCCCAAAAGCACACAGAGTGCTAAGCCTTGAGAAACACTGCAACAAATTTTTACGTATGCAGACAATATTGATTGTAAGAGTGCCCAGCATTGATATCGTGATAGTAAGTAGCAACACTTAGCTTCTAAATCATGTCAGCGTGAAACGACGAAAAAAAAAATAAGTGGCAGGAAGGGTGTTGGACGAAAAATTTCGGTGAGGGGGGGGTGGTTGAACTCCCCCGACTCCCCTTGGCTACTGATTGACATAATAGGAAAGGGGGCACTGTGACAAACCTTTGTACCCCTCTCCCCCTTGAAGGAGAACCTTGAGCACGCCTATTCTCCCCTCCCCCCTGCCAATTAGCATTTCCTTTCCTGCACAGCAAATATTGCCTATAGTCCCCACCACAAAGCCATTTCTTTCTGTTAGCCAAATTTCAGAAATTCCTGGCAATCTCGCACGGCCATCTGATGGCACGCGATGCCAACCTCAAGGAGCATTTCGAACCTAGTGCGGAGTCCTGAATATGCAGCCGACGCAGCGACTGGCATAGCGACAAAAACAGACATAAGCGGCTGTCTGCGATGAATGTGTACCACGACTGGCTACTTGGCAAAAACAGACACAGCTTTTTTGAGATGCGGTACGGTCAGCAGAGAGCCGATCCTCTAGTGGCTAGTTGCATGCAGCACTTCCCCTACTTGCCATACAAACCGTACTAAGAAGCCGCTTGCGCCCACTCCGCTTCAAAATGCGCATGGTTGCGGCGAGAAAGCTATTACATTAAGACGGTGATGCGAGCTTTCTGTAAGCGATGCTCTAGTGGTCCTGGAAGCAGACTGAGGCGCGTTTGGGTTGTCACCTAATGAAAGCGTGCAGTATGGTTATAACAGCACTCCCCATGCTGTCTCGGTGCCCGCGATGCACAAAGCTTAATGCTGCGACCGGGAACTACTTTTGTTTCCGCAAAGTGGTGCATGCTGAACACGGTCCCGTATAACGATTGAGGCGGTAGTGATCGGTGTCTCTGTGCGCTCAGGTAGTTGCCAGCTATTCAAAGCGTGCAGTAGGCTTAAAGCGACACTAAGCCATACACGGTAGGGTTTTTACCAGCGATGTCATACTGGTGCGCTTTTCAATAGTCACCACGTGCGCTTTTCAATAGTCACCACATCGCCTTCGCTTTGCGCCAGTGGTTACCAGAAAAGGTACCAGCTGCAATCTTGTGGAAGTGGGAATAATTGACCATCTCATTTCATGCTCGTACAACTGTACGCAAATGTAACAGCGCAAGTGTACAAGATGGCAACCATCACGCAACATCAGCTTATATGCCTGCTCTCAACATTACTTTCGGTTCCAAAACCACCTTCTGGCACAGCAATGGTGCAAATAAGACAAAAAAGACCATTTTAGAGCAGTATGGCACAGTAATTTTCATTTGGCAAGATTGGCGCAGGTTTCCCACCACTGGAAGCAGAATCTAAAGTGCTGAAACTCTTTATTGGGTAAAGCTGTGCCCAGCAATCGCACTTCAAAACAACAGAGATGGGAAGTCATTGGTAATGTAAAAAAAAATCACAGCATATACAGGGAGTGAATGATAATGAGTGGGCGAAGCGTGCGTCAGCCCGTCCAAAGCCCGTCAGCCATACCCGCTCTGGAGCAGGTACGTGCCGCCAGTGGCTACACACGACAATGGAGGATGGACAGACCCACACCTTAAAGAGCTTCGTCCCTAAAACTGATCGGCCGCAAAGTGCGTCATCTTTTATACATGCATGATATTATATTTTTGTGGTATCCCAGATGCTTGAGTACAGTCTGGCAGGCACTCAAACATACGTGTTAGGGCATTCAATGTGAGCAGAACAATCACCGTCATTTGCAAAGCAGATTGCCCGCAGCGGTGGTCTAGTGGCTAAGGTACTCAGCTGCTGACCCGTAGGTCGCGGGATCGAATCCCGGCTGCGAGGGCTGCATTTCCGATGGAGGCGGAAATCCTGCAGGCCAGTGTGCTCAGATTTGGGTGCCTGTTGAAGAACCCCAAATGGTCGAAATTTCCGGAGCCCTACACTACGGCGTCTCTCATAATCTTTTGGTGGTTTTGGAACGTTAAACCCCAAATATCAATCAATTAATACAAAGCAGCATGCAATATGAAGCACAGCCTAAATAAAGTAATAAAGCACATCACATGAAATTGAGTGAGAAAAAGTCGCCATGAAATTAAAAAAAGGTATGTGTGTCACTATGAACGTCATTTACACACTAGGAATGAGTATTGAGCAATACTCAAATTTATATGTACAGTCAACAATATTATTTTTGAAATGCTCAATCTTTCAAACATGCTCGATAACTTTAAGCTATTCACACTACTGCCATGTAATTGCAAGGCAAATGCGTAAGGACACCTAAACCTTTTGACGCTGAAAACATTTTGTGTTCAATATATTATGACTTTTTTGCATTGACATCCTGGCATCTATCAAAGTGACCGATCCAAACATTTATTCTAGACATCCCGGTACCACAAGGGAGGTTTTTGTGCACCAGTTTAATGTTGAGCGTAGCTCGCTATGCGAAAGTTTTATTCTACTATTGTGTGCTTTACCATAGTAGGCTCAGCTGCCTGTTAAGGTTCCTTCTGTTCAATGTGCAATGTAACGTTTTCATTAACTGAATTTATTAGTGTCAGCAATGTTGCCACCTTCGTCAGACTCACACAGTGTGCATTGTGTGAGCCTGACGAAGGGGCATGAAAGGGGCACCTGCCAGCCAAATTACAATTGAGTGAGTGTGACAATCTGTGGAATCAAGTTAGTTATGCTCCAATAGCACTTTGACGAGTTAGTACATACCCGAATAGGTTTAGCCCAATTTAGGAAAAGACGGGAGGCACACAGAACACAGATGAGCGCTGTGTGTCTCACATCTTCATCTCAAACACTGTTAAACCTACCTAAGTAGTTATGCTCCTTACACCAGCATACTGAATAAGTGCCCCTGGTGCTTGTGAGATTGCCCAGAGAATCCTAGAAGATGCGAAAGGCACCTTCACAACAAACCCACTGAGTTTCAAGTAGGACTAACAGTTGGGCGAATTGATAAGGACGCATAATTTTAGAACGGTGCAAGCAAAAAGCACGAACAGATCTGTTCATGTGGTTTGTTTCGTCTTCCTTGTCGTGCCGCCATTCTAAAACTATGCCAATGAACGTTTCCACTGGCTGCATCAATAAGCCCTTCCTGCCGATATTACATGTGGAAAAAAGTCAGACTCAACTGTTTTTCAAGGCAAGTGGCAGGGCACACATTGTTGGCTTTGATGTTGTTGGTGATGCTGCGTAGGCCAGCTTGCCACACCTGCAGGAAAAATGTACATATTGCATGGCTGTATAACACTAACAGCACCCTATCTTGAACCAGTTGGTGCATCGTTACTTGAAAGATGTGGTGCAAGCTTAAAAACCGAAAAGAACGAAGAAGAGACCGAAAGAGTGCCAACTCACAACTAACTTTATTTTCCTGAAGCATTCACTTTATAAAGGCTCTTGCAGGACATGCATAGAACTATTTCACTCACTGTGCATGCAGGAAAGAACAAACAAGGCATCAAACTCTTACAACCACAGTGTCTGTGAAAGAGCAAAACCAAATAAATCCTGATGTAAAAGCTTACAAAGAAAACAAAAAACCTTGAACCTGTGCACCCTTCAAACCTCAACGAACTTGTGAGAAATAAAAAATAAATATTATACATGCACTTTGCAACAAAGCCAGCTAAGAAACATTTAGATCCAACAGTTGGTATTCATAATAGTGCAACAAAACCAAAGGCACGCTGAGGCAAGAATCACCTATCGGATGTGAAAAGCTTCTAGCACCATAATGGATAACCTAAAATAAGTCTTAAACTCTCAAATTATGCCCAAGACAAGCAGTTGCACTTTCGACATTGCGTTGAGCGGCAGGAAAAGGCACGGAAGACATCCTATCTGGCATCCTGACTACACACGCACACCAATAGTGAGCAAGACACGCATGGGACACATACAAGCCAGGACGCATGGAATTGCTCTGGGCACATTTCTAGTGAGAAAATTAAACTAATGAATTTGAGCCAGCGTGGCCGGCATTGTGACATGGTGGAGACGGGTGAAGAAGTTGCGACAAAGAGAGGAAAGCAGACTTACAAGAAACAGGCAGAGTTCCGAATTTGCAATGAAATAAGAGAGAGGGGCATTCAGCGACCTGAAAACAAACCTTAAACAAAAAACCTTAAAAACAAAGAAATACGAGAGGAAGGCACGTCGGGTACTTGCTTGAAAGGTCCAAGAAAGGCGCAACTTACGCGCAGCGAAATTTGGGAGAGTAGCCTGCGGGCACAAAGATCAAATAATCGCACTATGGTACCAGGGGGCTTCTGTGGAGCCGCTGACTTTATTATTCGCGATTCATTCTGTTTTTACGTTTCCGTGTGCAGGGCATGCTGAGCGGAGTGGAAAGTGAGCAAGAATAGGTCCTTAACACAGACAAATCGTGAATTATCAAAGTCTGTGGGGTAGCATAAGCGCATGTACTGGAACGATATGACAACAATCCAGGCAAGACATGGACGCGGACGATCAGGTACCGTCAGCAGCCGACGATGTTGGCAGATTGTCTGGTAACTCTAGGCCAGCTACGGCAACGAAAGTGTGGCAAGATCAGCAATCAAATACTGAGGGGAGACTAGTCAGCCGACCGATCTTCGAAAGATCAATGGCAGTGTGAAAACATGATCCTCATCTGGCGATGCAAGTTGCTCAAAGTAGCAGGGGAAAGAAGGATAGAAGGGTGCGTTTGAAAAATGATCAGGGAGAGCAACAACTAAAGGGCTGCCGAAGCAGGATTGGCATTTAACAATGAGAATCTATAGGCACATTGCCAATGGCTCATCGGTGGTCGAAAGTGGTGTCCCGGGTAGTCATCAGAGCAACGACTTCATTTGCTGTAACTGACCGATCGGCGGTGCTCAGAGCCTTTCCTTGTAAATGCGATTTTGTGTCATTGAAATAACAGATATTTCCATGGTCATGTACGTATCGTTCATTTTAAGTGAAAGGTTGTGTTAAGTGGGCCTGTTATATGTGGGCATGAATGTATATGAACATTCTCGACTGGTTTCTACTGTCGCTGTCATGATTTGGGTAATGTCAAAATCGATAATTTTGTCTCTGCGCATCATATCTTTTATGCGCTGGTAGAAAAGCATAAACAGGGGCAACGAATGCGGCTGAAGCAGAAGTAAAAAGGGCCGAGCTATCTCCGTTGCACAGAGGGCCCACGCGATAACATCCGCCTGTGTGCCAGGCCTTCCATCAGTTGCTACTCAAGCAGAGAGGAACATGCCACCCATATTCAAAGGGCATGAACGAATGCAAGGTGGGGGTGGGTTGGCTTTAAAGCAGCAACTGTGCACTTTGACTTTAGGGCACAATCGCTGGTGTGCGCACTGTATCGGCAGGCATTGGAGACGGCTTGTACACCAATTTACATATTGTCTTTTTAACATGATCAGACTGACCAAAACATGCTTCGCTTCCTGGAGCGGCCATAACGGGTGTATGCACTGAGCCTTTATCGCAAGCTGGCCACCTCATATGAAAATGGGTTGTGAATTCCCAGCTCGAAATAGAAATAATTCTCAACTGGAAAGCCATTTCCAGCTGCAAATATAACTTCCGAACTGGGACTGGAAAACTTAGAGCTGGAAATGGCTTTCCAGTCGGGCATCATTTCCACTTCCAGCTTGAAGTTTTTCAGTCCCAGTTTGGAAGTTATGTAACTAAAATTTTTCCCAGCTTAAGTTGCAAAACAATTTGCTCAATCAGCATGAAATTCGCTTTTTTGAGCAAGGAGTGCTATAGTTGAGCAAAAAAATTGCAGCTGCATGAAAAATTGCTCTAAATACAAGTGACAGGTTTCGGCTACCTAAGCAATTCTATATTTGTTTTGTTTTTTTTAAACGCTACTAAAATGACCCCCCCCCCCCCCCCTCAGTAAAGCAGGCTGTGCTTTTGAGAATGATTTAGAATATCCATCCCATGGCACGTAAAATACATTTTACAACAGGGATCATAGGTGCTCCTCGTACGGCTGGGTTCCAGAAAACAAAATGAAAAAAAAAAATGTGGCTGAGGCAAAATGCACCTTTATTTTACCTTTGCAGTAGCCGTGTCCCCAGCCGACATGGCATTGCAAAAGGTTACAACTGTAGACATCCAACCGAGTACTTGCTCAGTTCCTGATTGAGCCGTTGTACCAACAGCTAGTGTATAAACAATAGCAGTTCCTTCCTTGCGAAAAAAAGGCTTACTTTTAACCTTCACAATTCACTGCCACAATCGAATATGTATTGGTGAACTTTACTAGCTTGCTCTTTCCTATGCTGCGACCATGAACAATGCTGCACTGCCGCAATTTTTTTAGACATCTTAGTAGCAAGTGCTATTCTCATCGCATTATTTCTTGGTGATTCCTAACGTTATTCCTAAGTAATGGCCTATTCTATGTTAAAAATAGAGCATAAACAAGTTGTACTTTTTTTTTAAGGGAAACATCATCATGCAAAATAAGAACACCGACCAAGGTGTAAAACACAAAACTTAAAAAGACGTTTCGGCTCCCCACACGGGAGCCTTCTTCACAGCACTGTGAACAAGGCTCCCGTGTGGGGAGCTGAAACATCTTTTTAAGTTTTGCGTATTTCACCTTGGTCGGCGTTTTTGTATTTTGCATTATGTTTGTCCCCGACCAGACGGGATTCCGTCGGACTCTTGACTAAACATCATCAACGACAACGGCCTAATACGCCAAATAAATCAATGACACCATAGTTTCCTGCAGCACAGGACAGCTAGTCATGGAGCGATCTGTACATGTGTGCGCTCGTTGTTTGCTAGTCTAGTGAGTTTCCTTGAAGAATCCCATGTGACAGTTGCATAAAATAGCTATTTTCGGTCAGTTTTATCTAGAGAAAGTGTTGAGAGTGATGACCAGCACGTTCAAGTGGTTTTTACTGCTGCACTGTGTGTGATGTATTGGATTGAGTGCTGATCAAGGGACATCGATTATGAAACTATGATTCTTCCATTTGGAGATGGGTTTTGCAACTACAGTCGATCCCGGATATATCGAACTCGAAAGGGATGGTGACACAGTTCGATGTATCAATAATTCGAAATACGAAATATGCGTATAAGGCCTAACTTAAAGCATTCCTCCGCCTTAAAGCAGCTCCTTCGACCGCAACAGCATTGATTTACACAGAACGCTGAAGCAAGCTTTGTAGCACAGCGAAAGGTTGGTTAGCGGCGGCAGAAAAGGCATCGGCATATTCATAACCGCACGGGTACACTTCTGTGGCATCGGCAACGGCAGCTACGATCTCGGCATCAATGCAGTGAGAAACAGCTAGGTCATCACCTGCATGCACTGATGAATTCGCTCACTGCCCGAGATGAAAGTCACACGTATTAAAACCTAATGGCAGCTCCTTAACCAGGAGACATGCTTTTAATATTGAAATTGCATTTAAAGAAAAAGGACACGGAAAACTTGAATTCTGATCCCATAGCACTCATGAGCTCAAAAGATAGAATGGGCATTTACTAAAAGAGTGATTGCAAACGCAGATGTGCTGGTGAATGCAATTACGAAAAAGCTCTTCTGGATGAAGATCCATAGATAAAGGATACTTGTGTAAGAGTGTCAACGTGTTTAACATGTGTTCTCTGTGGTCGCGAAGCATGAAAAATTAGATTGCTAGTATGTCCAGAAATAGACGGGAATGACATTCTGGTGGCAAGCGGTCAATTATTAGTGAAAATTTCTTTAATTACGTGCAGTGCGGCTCTTCTAACTAGCTATTACCAGTGCTCCTCGATCAGACAACATCCACCGATGAAGAGCCGCCACAGTTACACGCTACCAATTGGGATAACCATCACGAGCCCCTAACTTCTGAGAGCCTGTTTTGCCATTGAGTCAACTTGCACAACAGAAGTTGCGTCTGCACTAAGCATAGCATCGTAGATTACTTGGGACTTACGCAACGCCACGTGCTTGTGACTTTGGTCGCCCCGAGAACAAGCTGCACATGCTTTGACGAACCAGCATGGCTATTGCCGATTTGTCAATTTCTATTGATACTATCAGTATGGCACAATAAAGATGATTTGGTGTACTTTGGTGCAGTTGGTGCATTACAGTCGCTGCAAGGTGCTGCAGTTTTTTGTGCTCCCTTTTTTGAGCTTTAGTGGCGCTACCAACAAAGTGAAATTTGGAGCGATTTTCAAAGTGGAAAAACTAAAATTTCAGAG